CTGGGCACATGAGCAGATGAGCAAGTGAGGCTGCAGGGAATTTAGGGAATGACAGGATCTTATGGATGTTTGAACCAGAGAAATTTTAGCCTCTGAGAATCCCAGTATAGAGCACAAGCTCTTGTTGGAGACGATGTTACCAAATCCCAGGTGTGAAAGATGAGGAGACTGAGGCCTATTGAGGTGTGTAATAGCATGGAGCTTCTATTTCCCCAAGCCCATTTCACAGATGGACAAACTAAGGCCTGGAGAAAGCCACTGAGATCCCTAAGGACATACAGTGAGGACTATGGCCCAGGTCTCCTGACTCCTAGCCCAAAGGGGAGTCAGAAGTAGGTGTGGAGCCTGACCTGGAGAGTGGAGGGGTGGCCCACTGACCATGTCTGTCTGTGTGTCCTACAGGCCCGGGGAGAAGGAGAAATGTCCAAATCCCTGTGGTTCAAAGGAGGGTGAGTAATGGAAGTGTGGGTTGTGGGAGGAAGTTTTGAACCCAGAGGCCAAGGCTGTTTTGTACCTGAGCCTTAGCTTAGTGAGGGTGGGGAGGAGTTCCATTTAGACAAGGGACAGACGGAACATGGGCAAGTTAGTGTGGTCACTCTCATAAGACACAACCACATGCAGACGCCAAAGGCAATAATCTTTGCATTGATTAAAAGACGTTGAATTGTCACAACAAACCCATGGGGGGCCCTGCTATCCCTAGTTACAGATGGGGAAACTGAGTCCAGAGAGAATACATGCCTTCCTCAAGCCATTCGCATAATTCAACACCATTTCCCCCTAGAAACAAATGTAAGATAAAGCAGAAACTATTTCCTGCACCATATATCTGAAGCCCTGGAACGATGTGGTTTTTTTTTTTTGCTTTGAGTCTGCTTTTAAATTTCTCAGATTATTGCTACAGTTTCTGGCTCCTTAAGAAATGATAGTTGTTTAGTCCTAAATGGAGCATGTAGTCATATCTAACCTCTTAAGTTACTGACTTTCAGGGGTGTTGGATGGTGAGATTAGAGGATGCACAAGATATTTTTAAGTTACACTTATGTTTCAAAATAGCAGGATAGTGACCTCCTTTGCTTCTACATCCTTTGCAAACAGAGGCAGGGAGAGAGCAGCCGTGGCTCCCAGATCAATGGGCGGGTGCCCTGGCTGGGGAGCCCCGAATGCAGGGCCTGAGACAGGGACTCCTGTGCACGTGATTTATGGAGAAAGCGCTCTCAGGAGAAACTGTGAGGTAGGCATCGTCAGGCAAGGGGAAGCAGAGATGTGGTTCAGGAGTGTCTGAGCCTCAGCCTGATGCTGCAGAAAGCTCTGTAGCATGGGCTGACCATTTAGCTCACACGGTAGAGCCTGGTGCAGATAACACCAAAGTCAGGGGTTTGAATCCCCACACTGGCCAGCCACCAAAAACAAAACACAACAGACATTTACTCTCTCACAGTTCTGGAGACCAGAAGTCCAAAATTAAGTTGTTGGTGGTGCCATGTTTCCTCCGAAACTTGTAGGGGAGAATCATTCTTTAGCCTCTTCTAACTTCTGGTGTTTGCCCAAAATCCTTGGCCAATCCTTGGTTTGTAGATGCGTCACTCCAATCTCTGCCTCCATTGTCACATGGCTGTCTTCTCCCTATGTGTCTATTCTTCATATAAGGACACCAGTTGTATTGGATTAAGGGCCTGTTCTATTCTAGAATGGCCTCCTCTTAACTGATTACATCTGCAATGGCCCTATTTCCAAATCAGGTCACAATATGAGGCACCAACAGTTAGGACATCAACATATATTTTTGGGGTGACACAATTCAACCCTTAACACCTGGGGAGGTCGAGTATCCTCCCCAGGCCTCAGGTGATGTCTGTGTGAAGAACGGAGAAGCCTGGACCCCCGACATGCCTGTGTGTCTTGCAGCCCTGGGGGTGGACTCATCATCATTGACAGCATGCCGGACATCCGCAAGAGGAAGCCTATCCCACTCGTGAGTGACCTGGTGAGCACCTGCGCCCTTCACTGCCCCAGCACAGCAGGCCTGCCATAAGCAGTGCGCAACCTGTACAACTGTCCATGGCGGACCTGGGGCTGTGGGCTGGTGAGGAGTTATCTGGGACTAATGTAGTCTGATTTCTACCCCATGTGCCGCGTGGACACTTCAGGCCATGGTGAGTGATGGTGACCTGGGCCCCCCGTGGTCTTCTCTCCAAATCCCTCCCCACTGGGTCTTCCAACCAGCCCCCAATCTATGCGTTCTGAGGGGACCTTGCTATGTCCCCCTGTTCATAGGGGGAAGAGGGCAGATGACTCCCCACCTCTGAGCTACCTTGTTCATGGTGTGGTGGATGGTTTTATTCTGTGGCTGGTGACCGTTGCCAAGCATGGCTCCCAAGTCCTGTTCATGGTAGAGGGTGTGAGCCACGGGTTTGGGGGTGTGAGCCAGGGGTATGGGGTGTGAGCCAGGGGTATGGGGCTGCTCACCTCCTGGGGTCCCTTCTAACTCAAAACCTCTGCCACTTCCTAATTCTTTGCTGGGTCTGCTCCCCCTGCCATCTGTGACCTTTTTCCAATCCGTGTTTTTGGCTCCAATATGTGGCTGACTTTTCCCATCCATGGCTGTGAATTCTTCTCTTGGTGATGATCCCATGGGTGTCAACGAACCCATGACTTGCTCTGTGACCTCCCCACCCCAGTCCTTGGTCCAGTCCAGGAAAGCAGGCATCACCTCGGCCTTGGCCTCCAGCACGTTGAACAACGAGGAGCTGGTATGTGGGGCGCCTCCTTCTCCCCGGGTGGAAGGATGGTGGACTGAACTGGGGGTCCCAGAAGTTTCTGAGCTTCTGAGGCTCTCCCTGGAAGAGGAGGGAGTGCGTGACAGGGACGAGCGTGATACAGCGTGGATTCGGACATCCTGGCTGGGGGTCCCAGAAGTTTCTGAGCTTCTGGAAGAGGAGGGAGTGCGTGACAGGGACGAGCGTGATACAGCGTGGATTCGGACATCCTGGGGGTGGGGGACGGGCTGAGAGTTTACTGTATTCAGCATGGGGGTAGAGGGTGGCAGGACGGGGACAGCACCCCCCAGGTTAGGGCCCCTGTGTCCCATGCCGTGCCACCTCCCTCCCCGCAGAAAAACCACGTTTACAAGAAGACCCTGCAAGCCTTAATCTACCCCATCTCGTGCACGACGCCGCACAACTTCGAGGTGTGGACGGCCACCACGCCCACCTACTGCTATGAATGCGAGGGCCTGCTATGGGGCATCGCGCGGCAGGGCATGCGCTGCACCGAGTGTGGCGTCAAGTGTCACGAGAAGTGCCAGGACCTGCTCAACGCCGACTGCCTGCAGCGTGAGGCGGGGCCTGGGTGCGGGGGCGGGGCGGATGCTGCAGGACTCGGTGAGGGGAGGGTTAGGGGGTCGAGGGCAGGGAGAGGCGGCGTGTGTAGGGTCGGGGATGAGCTTGACTGTGCAAGAGGCGGTGCTTAATGAGAAGAGGTGGCTCCCCTAGAGAAGAATGGGTTAGCGTTAGGGTTAGCTCACAGGAGGGGGTCTCAGAGAGGGAAGGGGCTTGCACTGGGAGAGGAACTTGGAAGGGGGTGGGGACTGCGGGGGGACTCAGAGAAGGGGACAGGTGGGGGAGGGAACTAAGAGAAGGAAGGGGACTCAGATGCAAGGGAGAGGACAGGGCAGGAGTGTCTCAGAGAGGAGTGAGGTCGCAGAGCGATCGGGATTCAGAAGGGGAGGAGACTCCCCCTAAGGGCAGGGCTCAGAGAAGGGGAGAGGACTCAGAGGGGGCGGGGCTCAGAGAAAGGGCGGGGACTCGGAGGGGGCGGGGCTCAGGGGGATGCAGAGGAGATAGGGTTTCGGGGGGAGACTCAGAGGGGCTGGGCTCAGGAAAGGGGAGAGGCTCAGAGGAGGTGAAGCTCAGGAGAATGCGAAGGAGATCGGGCTCAGAGAAAGGAAGGCGACTCAGAGAGTGGGGCTCAGAGGTGGGAGGGGACCACGCTATGGGCGGGGCTGGGAAGGAGGGAGGGACTCAGAGGGGCCGGGGCTCAGGGGGATGCAGAGGAGATAGGGTTTGGGGGGGGAGACTCAGAGGGGCTGGGCTCAGGAAGGGGAAGAGACTCAGAGGAGATGAGGCTCAGGAGAATGCGAAGGAGATCGGGCTCAGAGAAAGGAAGGCGACTCAGAAAGTGTGGGGCTCAGAGGTGGGAGGGGACCCGTTCTAGGGACGGAGTCAGGGGGAGGGGACTCGAGGGGGCAGGGCTCGGAGAAGGGGAGGGGACTCAGGGGGTGGGGAACAGGTGGGAGGGAACCCTGCTATGGTAGGGGCTGGGAGGGGGAGAGGCTCGGAGGG